AATGAGGTATAGCTATGATTTGCTACATACTGAGGTTTGACTGAGCAAGTGTGGAACTGCCTTGAAGGAATCATTCTGTGATCCTTGATGAACTTAGGTTTCAATTCGGGGTGCAAAATCCAGCACCTTTCCTCCACGTGACCTATAGCATCACAAAAATTACACTTCAAGTTTGGATTTTTACCTTTGTAAGGCCTGCTGTTTGAGGGTTTATGTTTGGCAGCATAGACTCTTGACTCAGAAATCTTGGAATTCTTCTCCAAGTTCATCACCCTTCTTCGAGCTTGCTCACATTGCACCATGGCACACATCGTTTTGAAGGAAGGAAGTTCGACATTCATCAGGATGGGACTCCTGAGATCCTCATAGTCCGAGTTCAAACTCGCAAACAGCTGATATATCTTGTTTGCTTCAACTTTTTTCAAAAGAACTGCAACATCAATGGTGTGAGGTAGATAAACATCTAACTCATTCCACATAGTCTTAAGACTTCCCAAGTGCTGCACAAAGGTTTTTCCATCTTGTTGAAAACTGGCAATGTCCCTCTTTAGCTGAAACACTCGTGCATAATTATTTTTATTCTCGTACATGTCATTCACAGATTTCCAAGATCGTGTGAAGACTCGAAATAGCTGAAGATTTCAGCGATATGTTTCTCCATGGAGTTGAGAAGCATTGACATGACTTGTTGGTACTTGCACAACCATGCTTCGTATGCTTGGGTAGAAGGCTCGGGTGCCTCAACTCCTCCATTGATGAACCCTAGCTTTCCTCTTCCACCAAAAGCAAGAGATACTGCTCTAGACCATGGGAGATATTTAAATTCATTCAGCAAAACTGAGCATAAACACATATTCGTTTTTATCTCAGTATTAGAAACAAAAGAGGGAGAACTTTATGACTTTTCTCCCCCAAGGTTTACTGAGTTCTCTTTAGCCATAACTGGAGCTTAAAGATGAACAACAGCGGAAAAAATGGGCAGAGACAGGTTAATGATGACACTGCTCTGATACCATGTGGAAGTTTTAAGTTTGTTTGAATGTATTTTTCATAGATTGATTGAATGTACAATAGGGGATATATAATAAGGTAGAAGGTTGCAAGCAACCCTACCTTGGCAAATCCTACTAACACGGTAAACCCCTAAAGCTATCACCCCTTAAATTAAGGGAGTGCAGGAAGTAGTTAGCACATAATTATCAACAAGTCATCTAGCAAAGTTGAACAGAAATTTGAATCGTTTTTGTACAATTATGTCTTTTATAATACGAAATCAATTCAAATAATGATATTTAGGAAAAGACAGATAATTTTATCAAGAGACATTCGCTTGTATTGTCCACAGTATTACATATATTTATTAATTTCCATGATATATGATAAATAGCTGTTCATCCTTCTGTCAGACAAAGTGTTTATGTTAAACTTAGGTTTAGGCTGCAACAAATTGGAAAAATTCGGATCTAAGCAAGCCAGAAACAGCAATCTGCCTGCTATAATTAATAAAAAATTAAACTTACTTTTGGATTGACGTTTGAATCGATTTGTACAGTTGTGTGCTTCTAAACTGGAAACATTAATGCACTTTACAGTTAAAAGATACGACAACAATCAACCTCGAACTGGCTTTTACTGAATTTATCATATCAAACAGCAACTCCATTATTCTACACTCCAGATCGTATACCAACCCGGGGTAGGCTGAATTCTAGAAACAATCGCAACGCTTGCGTGTTATTTTGCACTCGGTTTTAAGAAACAGATGCCATATGCTTTACCCTGACATGACCTGGTTTTTTTGGTTGCGGCTGCACTACGAACGGATGAGACAGGAGCTCCTCAGCAGTTAAATCTTTTCTCAGGTCTCATGGCAAGGCAAATCTCTAGAAAATCCCCGGCCACATATGAGATTTCAGCAGGAATTCTTGAACTACGCAGATGATCCAACATTGTCACATCGAGGATATCGACACGGTCACTACAACCTGGCTTCAACTCCCAGGGCGACTTGCCCACTAGCATCTCAAACACTATACAACCAAGAGACCATATATCACAGGACTCATCTTGCTTTATAACTTTTAAAGCTTCTGGGGATAGATACCTAGGAGTGCCTCTCCATCCACTGTATTTCTCCTTGCTTCTCTTAGACAATCCAAAATCTGCAATCTCGCTACAAAACTAGAAGTTGTAGTGGAATATTCTCGGGCTTCCAATCGCACTGAATATAACCACACTTGGGAATATGTATAAGCCCTTCCAGAATGCACCTTGTGTACGTTTTAACATGAGCTTCAGGTAATCCATGACCGTTGGATCTTTGTACACCTTGTCACTCTTGTCGGTGGTCGTCGTGGTCTCTTTGCCAAAGCGCTCGATAATAAAAGGGCAGCTCTTAATCTCAAAGAGAACCTCTGCCTCATGCTGAATGGACTCTGAAGCAAAGAGCACTGCCGATTTCACGGCCATCAATGCAGGAAAATTGCCAGTCAACAGACCCCTTTTACGTTTATCGGAGCAGCAAGAAAAACCGAACCAAATCATCCTTTTCCAATCAAGGCTCCTCTCAACCAGCGCTCTCCATGATTCCACATTTTCCAAGTTTCTTCTTCGGCTTTTCTTTTCACCATTCCTCTCTTATGTTCACTCGAACAATCTAAGTTGCTTGTTTGCTTCACAAGAAATAAGCTAGTGATTCTGAATAAATTAGCGACTGCTTTGAGTAATGCTTTATAGTGTAGGGAATGGGAATGTGTGGTTTAGGGTTTGAAGCAATATAGAAAGTCGGTCAGGTTAATTTGATTCTCTGTAGGTTTGGTTTGTGGCGTAAATGCCAAGCTACTACTTAATTAACAAGATACTTAATTTACAACTAAACAAATTTCCCGATTTAATTTGGATATCCTATTTTGTTTTGGGTGGTGATAATATGATAATTATTTACAAAACCAAACTTTATTCTAATCATCAGGAGACTTGGAAACCAAGTTACCAACAAATTTTATGGGACCAATGAAATTCAAGCCATATTTGTCTTGGATTCAACTTCCACCGTTTCCAAGTTCCACATTCATTAAATATCATATAAAATAACAAACTAATTTTTATTGTTGGACTGCAAATTAATTCAAAATTATATTTAATAATTTAAATTTTTATTTTTAAAGGATATATTTAGAAGGGAGCCTTACTTATAGAGACACAAATATATACTATATTTCACACAACTTCACACCTTTTAAAACATTACAAGGAGGGGAAAAAAAAACCCAATAACAGAAAACCAAGCCCAACCCAAAAAGAAATGGACCGACTAAATTATGGCCCATGCCACTTGACTATAACCGTTAATAAACGGCCACGTTAACCACTACACGACAAAAATCGTAAAAACAAGCTGGTTCCTTTCCCTTTTCCCTTATTCAATACCCATAGTTTCCTCTTCCCCAAACCTATTATTTGAAATTCCTATCATGCAAAAGATACTTCCCTAGAAAAAAAAAAAGAAAAAAAACCCTAAAATCTCCATAGTTTCCGACACTTTCAAGCCGGATTTTCAGTAAGTGATTCACAAAGTTCTGCTGGATTTCCAGAAAGATCAGTGTTTCAAAGGTTTTCCTACTACTCAAAATGGTCATGTTGCATGATTATATTTCGAACTCTGTTAAAAATGAATGCATTATCAAAGTTTTGGATGCATTATCAAGTGTTTTTGCATTTGTCTTTGCAAAAGACACTTTTCACAAAACTATAAAAAATGCATGCATTATCAAGTGTTTTTTGTACTTGATTTTACAAAAAAATTCAGTGTTCCAGTTCTTGTCATTTATATGAAATTGATCCCCTTATTATACTCATGATCGTTTCATTTTTTTTATGAAAATGATGCCAAAAGTAAAACATTTTGCAATAAAAAAGAAATCAGCTTCAAAACCTCATGTCGTAAAGCGTCGAGCAACAGATGAGAACCGTGCTCAAATAAGACTGAATCTCTTGGCCTTTGTAGAACTAATACAAGAGCTCAAGCCAAAACTTGAAGAAAAACCAGAAGTCTTGGCATTCATATATAAGTCACCTTTTGGTAGACTAGTGAAAGCTTACATAAAAGGTGAATTACAAATGAAGAAATCAGACTAGATGTCATACATATAGTGAACTGGCATGACACTGAAAATGGAATGTTCAAAATCAAAAATGGATATTACAAAGTAAATTCTGATGATGTCCAACGCATATTTGGGCTCCCAAATCGAGGCAGAGAAGCCCTTCGGTCAACAACAAACTCAAGAATCCCGAAGCCGAAAGCAAACAGATTTGTTGATAAATACTTCTCGGAAATGACAAGAATTGGTAGAAGAGAAATTGCACAAGCAATTCAAGTTGCATTTGATACTGGGACAACATAAGGGGATCAAGATGCAGCCTGCCTTATAATTTTATATTTGCTCAACACAAATCTACCTAGGAGCTCAGTAGGGAAACTCCCTTGGAGTTTGGCCAAGAATTGCAACTCCATCCATAACATAAATCAGTACAACTGGGCCAAGGAAAGAGCATGATACTTGATGGAATCAATCGATAAAACACAGAAGAGAAAAGAGACAAACAACCAACCATCAGTGGTGCTGTTGTACTTTTACTAGTAAGCAAACAAAAAAACTAACCAAAAAAAAAAGTTTTTGTCTTATTTTACAAAACTATACAAATCTCTAACTTTTATTTTGTTTACAATATTGGATTTGTGTTCACACCACAATCATAAACCTAATAGAAGGAAAGGAGAAACGCTTGCCAACAGTAGTGAAGTAGGATTTGGCAAATCTACATGAAAAAATCTATAAAGAAGAAAATGAAAATTTGGAGGTAAAACTGATACTGCATATACTTTTATGTAAAACATGATTCTACATGTACTTTGTGTGAAAAGATATTATGCATGTGCCTGTTGTGTGTTGTTTTCAAACAAATTAACAAAAAACATAACTCTTTAACTTTTCCAGATGGACAATGCAAAACAAATTAAGGAGTCAGTTGAACAGCGCTCAGAAGATGATGATGACGACTTTGTCGATCCTCCACCAGCATCAAAAAAAGAGGAAAATGAAAAGCAAGTAGCTAAGAAGGGACCAAAAGCCAAGAAAGCTAAAGCGTCAAAAAAATTAGTGCTTCAACATAAAGATCCTGAAGAAGATGAAACGGTAGGGGGACCTAAGCAAGTAGCCAAGAAGGATGAATGTCAAAAAGGTGATGCTGATGATGAGATGATTGACGTTCAACAGCAAGAAGAGGATGATGATGAAAGAACTATTTCAGATGAGCCGAAAAAAAACAATGATCAAATAAATGATGAAGAATTTCAAATAACACTAGTTGTGTGGAAGATAAAAATGCAAAGCCAAGATAAGCTAAAAAGTCAAGACAATGACCCAGCAGATAAAATGGTAAATCCAAAAACAAGCTAATTCTGCTTAAAATTTGTGTTTATATTTTATATAAAATCATGAGTTTGCCATAAAAAAAAATATTAAAATGCCATTAAATGAATGATTCTGGTATAACTAATGTTGCATACTAAGTCTAGTATAACTGATGCTACATAATTGATGTTGCATACTAATTCTGGTATAACTGACACTGCATACTAATTCTTATATAACTGATGTTGCATACTAAGTTTGGTATAACTGATACTGCATACTAATTTTTTATCACTAATGTTGGATACTAATTCTTGTATAGGTAATAATGCATGCTAAAAACTTATATATGTAATAATGCTCCTTAAAAAAATGTAAAAGCAATGTAATAGCAATGCTGCATACTAATTCTTGTATAACTAAAATAATGAATAATAAAATTTGATTCATAATCTTGATTCTCCTATAACTGATGTTTCATGATTATTCTGACATAACCTGAAGCTTTGTGATTATAATCTATAGTTGACGTTGCATAATTATTCTGCTATAAAACTAAAGCTTTGTCATTATAATCCATAACTCATGCTGCATACTAAATCTTTGTCATTTAATTATTGATTTTGAACACTATCAAGAGGAAGAGGGTGGAGAACAAAATGAAAATGAAGATCAATTTGACACACTGGTTGATAGTCAAAGTATCTTTGGCACCTAAATTCCAAATGAGCAAGTCCAAGATGACCAAAATATTACACATGATTTTGCCTAGCCAACTGTTGAAAATGAAGAAAGAAATGCGGACATCACAGACATTGACAGGACTGAAATTGATAGGGTGATCAATAATGTGGTTAATTTCCAAGCAGAAGAGGCAGTACAAAAAGAAGCTCCATGTACATCAATTGAAGAATCAATTCCTTCAATGCAAGAAGTGGCAGTGCAAAAAGAGAATTCAAGTACTTCAATCCAAGAATAAGTTCATATAGTGCAAGCAGAGGCAATGAAAATAGTGGCTCCAAGCACCTCAGTTCCTCAAACCCCAGTTCACCCACATCGACAAGAAGCAAATGCAAATTCAATCCCTCCATTGCCAGTTCAAGCTAAGGAACAATAAGGAAATGCAGCATATGTTCCTCAACTGCCAGTTCACCCCGAAAAGTTGACAATCAAGACAAGGAAGCAACAAACATTTTATGAATGGCTTCTTGCTCCACTTACGGATGAAGAAAAATGGGAATGTGAAAATTCAAAAGAGGAGTGAACACAAGAAGAGCTCTCTCAAAGCCAAACAAATGCTGCAAAGTACTAGAATGAGGGCGAAACTTCGGCTTCAAATGTTGAATAATGCTATCAACACATGCCACTTCAAGAATTCTGTTACTGAGAAAATAGTTGAAGAGTAGGATGCTTTGCAAAACAATAATAAGGACTTGCAAAAAGAAAACAAGAAGTTGGAAAAGAGAACAAAAAATTGGAAAAACAGAAAAGTGAACTTGAGAAGAAGAACATTGCATTGGGGCAACAAAAGAAAAAATGGGAAGAAGAAGAGAATAAGTTGCTGGAAAAGAATAAGGGATTGTTGAAGGAGAAGAATGGCCTTGAATGGCAACAAGAAAAGTCCTACAAGAAGCATTGTGAACTAAATGCATTAAACAAGGAAAAAATGGAAAAAAAATAAGAGAGAAATTTCAAATTCTAAAAGTTGAGCTAATTTCTCTTGAAGAATTAGTGAAGAAGCAACAAAAATAATTTTTGAGTTAAACAAGACCTTGGGTTTCTAGATCCTTTGGGCTATTTTTAGCCCTTTGGCCCTGTGGACCTTTCGGTTGGAAATGGTCTAAGATCATCTTCTTTTTTTGGACATAACAAATAAAACCACTTTTCTAAAACACACCTCCTGTCAAACATCATGACCATCAACCTCCCCTATTTGATTCAATCAAATCCAGAATAGGTATCCGACGTTCTTCAGAAGTCATTGCGTTAAATGATTCTGCAGTTGTATTACTTAATTGGCCCCACCGATTTCCTCGAAAATGTATAATAAAATAATGCTCTTTTGGAAGATCATCTAAAAATGAATCATAAATATCTCTGCCAACATTTCTCATTTTTGAAATATTCCTATCAAAATCTTCAACACTACATGCATATGCACAATTTTTGAAATATTCACACATCTGATTATTCAAAAACCTATTACCTGCACATTGCCTCTCTAAATTTTCCCTCAAATGTATAATACAAAAACCATGAGAAGCAGTAGGGAAGTACTTTCAAATAGCATTCAAAAGCCCATGATGTTAGTCAATAATAAACATGATCCTCCTTTTTTGGTAATTTAATATCTGAGCCAAATGTTCAACAAACCACGTCAAATGCTCTTCATTTTCTATGTCAACAGTACCATAACACACAAGGAAAATATCTATATAGAAAAAAAAAATTAATAATTATATCAAAAAGTAGGTTCTGCACATAACATTATTGATCCTACACATTATTAAACTAATGCTACACTTTAATAAACAGATGCTGCACATTATTAAACTGATACTGCACTTTAATAAACAGATGTTGAACATTATTAAACTAATGTTGCACATTATTAAATTGATGTTGCACTTTAATACACAAATCTACACAAAAAGAATAACCTGATTCTCCAAAATATATAAATATTGAAATTCAAAACGATATCAAAAATCTGTAATTTATAACAATTAAAAAAACTTACCATTATTTGCATTTTTAGCACAACAACCAAGAAGATTACCGGTATATCTTCCCTTAAAAAACATACCATCAAGGAACAACATTGGTCTACAGCATAGGAATCTTTTAACACAAACTCCAAAAGATATGAATAACCTTTCAAACTGATTACTATCGTTATCAAGTTCTAATGCACAAAAGGATCCATCATTGGCACGCACAAACTTATCAAGGTACCAAGGCAAAAATCCAAAGGAGAGAGCCTGATCACCATTAACCTCATTATATGCAATCTCTTTGCAACGCCACGTTGCATGACATTTAACATCAAGACCATAACTTTCCTTTATTTCTCTCATAACATCCTTTGCCTTAATAGATGGATTCAAAAGAACCTTGGCAACCAACAAAGAGGACAAAATAGAAGGGCTAAACCTTTTATTCTCCTTTTGACGAATACATCCAGCGCAAGTATGAATATTATTTAATTTTTGAATGATAAAACAACCACTAGGCTGTTCTCGTGCATTGTCCTTTAAATAATAATCTATTAATTGGTTTCTAATCCATTGTCCTTTAAATAATTGTTTATATAAAACTGATGCTGCATAAGTATTATGCTGAAAATTATTAAATGATTATTTTGGTGGTGGTGGTGGTGGGGGGGAGGGGTTCCCCCCAACCCTCCTACCCCAAAAATTATGCCAATTGATTTTGCAAGATTCTATAAGCTGATACAGCAAAAGTATTACATTGAAAATTATGGTTTATATAAAACGGATGTTGCACAAGTATTACGTTGAAAATTATTAAATGTTTATGAGGGGGTTCCCTTCCTACCCCCTCCCCCCCCCCCCCCCAAAAAAAAAAAAAACCTTATCACAACTGATTCTGCACGATTCTACGAACTGATGTTGCATAAATATTAATAACTGATAGGAGCATATTCATGCGACTTAAATGGCTTGTTCTCGTGCATTTACGTTATGTTTCTTTAGTTATTTTAGTACTTTAAGCTATTTTCGTGTGTTTGTAGGTCCAAAGGGCTAAAGGAGCAAAAAGATGCATTTTGGAGACTTTTGGAGCACTTTTGGGCTAAGGATGGATAGCTTATGCTTGGAGCCAAAGTGTTGGAACCTTGTTCCCTTTAGTTCTAGGACATTTAAACCTTTCCTATATCCATTGCACATGCATTCCTTTAATCCACATGCATCTCCATAAATCATCCAACACATTTTCTCTCCCAAAAACCGTACACACCATTCACCCTAGATTCTAATCAGCCATTCACCAAAACCATTTCCCTTTGTGCCGTGCACATGCATACACACTTCATTTCAGCCACATGCAACCATTAAACATTCAATCATCTCACTCCACTTAATGCCGTGAGTTCAGATTTCCAACCTAATTCACATGCATTCCATCCTTTAATTCACCCACATGCACTCATAATCATTCACACCTTGCATTCACATGCATTTCCAACCTAATCACTCACCCACACAATCTGCCATCATTCACACAAACGCCATCATTGCCGTGCATCCCATTCCATCTCCCATTTCAGATTTCATTCCATTCATTCCAGCCAAGCCACATGCACTCCCTTTAATTAATTCATCCTAGCTGTCAAAGCACATGCACATTCACCCTAATCATTCACATAGCTTTAATTCACATGCAAACACATTGCATTACCATTCACCACCAGAAAATCACCATCATTGCCGTGAGTTTCATACACTTTCCAGCCATTCCACATGCCATTGTCATTCCACTTCATTTCACCTTGCATTTTCAGATTATTCCTTCATCATTGCACCACACATGCAGCCACATATTCATTGCACATGCTTTCACATTCAATTTCAGCTTTCCAACCTAGCCACATCCACATGCATTCACTCATAATCATTCACCATCATTGCAGCCACATTTCCACCCACTTCCTAGCTATCATGTTCCCTCTTATTTACCTATAAATAAGCATCCATTTCAGCCACAACATCATCTCATTTTTTCATACACAACACCACACCACAAACACATCCACTTCTTCCTAGCCGTGAGTCCCCATTCCCTTATAATCCAAACACCATTCCTCCTTCCATTTTCACCACTCCCCCAAACCATTCACACCATCAAACTATCCTTAGACCTTGTGCTACAACGAAGAGGAAGATAAGAGGGCCTAAACGTTCATACAATTCAAGTTTGAGTTGTTGGAATGTTTAGGTGTTTCTTTGATTTCAATGTTTAATTTCAATACTCTTTGTTTTGTACGAATGAGGAATGGAAGAGAAGAGGACCTAAACGTTCATACA